GGACTCTCATTCTGACGGCACCCATTCACTGCAGAGCAAGCGATGTGATGCTAAGTTTCTCCAAATCTAATGGAGAAACAAACTCATCTACAACGTGGATGGCCTGTGGGTGAGCACATTTTTTCTTTAAACTTAAACGGACATCACAAAGTGCTTTTTTAAAAGTGTACTTAAGTTTCTTTTTTTAAGTACACTTATGTGGTCTGTACTTAATATTATAAAATTCTCAAGTGCTTTTTTATGCATACTTTGAAGTTTACAAGTATTTGAAGAAACCTACCCTACACTGACCTCAATTAAGTGCAATTAAGTGTTTCGCAAAGGTAAAACTAGCATCAAAATGAGCTTCATGAAGCGTGTAAAAGTGCAGTATGTCATGTGAAAGAATACCTTCACTATCGCAGCACTCGAGGATGGACGGGTCCTCTCGTATCGTGGCGGTCAGTGTGTTCACATCTCCGTTTGCTGCCGCCTGGTACACCACATTCAGATCAACCTCCTCAGCAGCTTCTGAGAGGAACATGAATCATTCAATAACATCTGCTGGGTGTAAGATGAACACTTCTTAGATATGTCTGATTTTAGAAGAATAAAGGCAAACAGTTGCTTATCATTGACTTGTCAGCTTCAGGTTAATCAACAAATGCTCATCGCTCTTTCAAGGCATGCCAATTGTTTGAAATTAAGAAGTGATTCATAATAAATCAACAGGTCAAAAGAAGCAGGTGTTCAAGATGTTGTCCCATAAAAATGAAAAATCTCAAATAAGATCTCTGCAGTGTTTCTCCTAGACATAAACAGAGAGCAAAAGACGAATTTTGCATCTGAAATGTTTCTGATAAAGATCCTAGTGTTCTCATGTGTCTCCTTTTAGAGATCTCAAACTACTACTTTTTCTGTGGGTCTGCAAGCAAAAGTGAGAAATCTCAATATGAACTCCAGAATATCTCACCAACGTCTTGCCAAGCAAAACGATCTACACTGCCGTTCAAAAGTTTGGGATCCGTAAGATTTGTATTGTTTTTTAAAGAAGTTCTTATGCTCATCAAGGCTGCATTTATTTGATCAAAAATACAG